TTCTAATAAAAATAATTTTATACAAACCAAGAAATTACGCGCAAAGTCATTATACAAGGAATTTAAAGATTTAAATTTAAAACAAATATTTTTTTTAAGTTCATATCTTCATTAAATTATATATTCTCAAATAAATATAAATTATTTCACAAATCCTCAAATTTATATCATACAAGGTTAAAAAAACTAGTGCCTTGATTCACCAGAAATAAATACAACTAAATACTATATTTTTTCTTATATCAGAGTATTTAAGTATAATTATGAAAACAAAATTAATATCACTAATTTCAGAACTTTCAGAAGTCAGTTATATTAAATTGATACGTTCATACCTCTTTTCAAGAGATTAAATTAAATTTTTTTTTTAAAGTAATTAATATTATGTTATACCTAAAAAACAATAAATGCAGGAATGCCACAAGGTAGCATATTAGGTCCACTGCTTTACTTGTTATACACCAGTGATTTTCCGAAAATAGATGAAGTTAAAATTGCTACGTTTGTAGGTGACACAGCGGTGATATCGCTAGGACTGACTATCACCCATTCAACCAAAATCCTCCAAAATGCATGTAATAAGATAAACGAATAGGCAAAAAGATGGACAATCAAACTAAATCAGCATAAATCAGTTTCTAACTTTTACAAACAAAAAAGTGAATCATGTTCCGTCGCTCACAATCGATGGAACTACTATACCATACAGCGAAACAGCTAAATATCTTGGAATGACCTTAGATGCCAAGCTGAGATGGAAAGAACAGGTGAAGAAAAAAAGGACAGAAATAGGTTTAAGGTATAGACAACTATACTGGTTGAAAGGACCTTGCTATACAAAATAGAATATTATATAAACAAGTCATAAAGCCTATGTGGACATATGGTATACAACTATGGGGTTGTACCAAACACAGCAATATTAAAATCATACAAACACTCCAAAATAAAATCTTACGTAACATGGTCAATGCACCTTGGTACATAAGGAATAAGGACTTACATACGGATCTTAAGATCCGTGAAGTCACAGAGGAAATACAAAGATTTGCCGCCAAACACCACGCTCGCCTCAGCCAGCACGAGAATGTGGAAGCGACCAAACTCTTACATAACCGAAACATGGTCAGAAGATTAAAAAGAACAAAGACATATGAACTTGTGTAGTTAAAATTGAATAGTGAATAGTGAAATGTTATAAATTAATGCACTTGGTCTAATAAGACCAGTTTTAATAAATAAATTTAATTTTAAAAAATGTACTAGTTTATTCTAATAACAAGCCATATTTAATTTTACAAATGCTATCCAGCACAAATATTTATCCACATTTCTTTAGTGGTCATAATTAACCATATCAATTATTCCAATTAGTTATTCTTTTTATATAAAGTTTTGGTTGAGATGAATATATACGGGCTGTAATGGAAAAATAACAAATTAAATACTTTTATAATTATGTGCTAAATTTGTTTTGTATTATATAATTTTGAATCCAAAAAAAGACCATTTTGTTTTGTAATTTCCATTATAGCTCAATTTATTATTAGAACTATAAATTTATGGAATGCTCTTCCTTTGCCAATCCGCGAAGCCGCCTCTCTTGCCTCTTTTGAATCCCTCCAGTGCCAGCACTTCATCTCCATCGAGAGACAACATAGTCCAACAAATATTATTAGGAAATTTTGCTAAAAAATGCTTTTATTTGCCTCCACTTTTAAGTTTACTTTTCCGATTACGCACAAGGCAGGGGATTTCTCTTATTATCTCTCTCTCTCCTCTCTCTCTCTCTCTCTCTTTCTTTCTCTCTCTCTCTCTCTCTCTCTCTCTCTCTCTCTTTCTCTCTCTTTCTATCTATCTATCTCTATCCATCTATCTATCTCTATCTCGCTCTATTATGATTTCACATTTTTAATTTAGGGGTCAGTGGCCAAATACTGAAAAAGGGAGTTTATTTTGTATATTTCAAAATATGTAAATGAACGAGTTAAATTCTTTTCAATGTTTCAAAGGCAGAGGAAGTGTTAAAAGTGCAGCTATTAATTTTTAATCTCCTTGAATATCTCCCACAGCTTTCCTCATTGGCTGCGAACTCTGTTTTAAATCGACGTTTCGTGTCTCTCTCGGTTACAGTTTTCCTTCCGATAATTTTCTTTAATTGATCTTGTGGACAATTAGACAAAAAGAAAGAGAGATAAACGTTCGAAAAATAAAACCAGAATTCCGGCCTGTCGGATTTTGATTCTGCATGCGATTTCTGTCAAAGGCTAGAGCCGCCGATATGTCCTTTAGAAACGTGTTTTACCGAGCCACCTTGAAACGAGAAATCATCGAAGGACGAAATGTTGACAATTAGAAGCAAGAAGAAGCCCAATTTTCCAATTCAAAAAGATTGAAATTTTCTTAAGATCATTTCCTTTACTATAAAGAGAAATGGGAATACAGGAATTTTTAAAAGTAAATAAACTAGTTTTTAAACGCTAGGTTGGGCTTAAGTAAGATTTTGGTGCTTACTTAATTTTTTTTTAGTTTCCTGGCTCGAAATAAAAAGCCTCTGTTAGCCTTAAAATTTAAAAATCAGCACATTACTGATTTTTTTCGGGTTTATTTAGCTTGTGCCGGATCGGTTTGTACAAACGTTGAAAACCCCGTTTCCCATAAAAAGGAAACACATGCCGTCCCACCTTCGGCCGATTCCCACGGATTCGAGACGAACGGGTAGAGGGCCGAACGAGGAAGATGATCGGTTGGCAGGATGTTTCCAAGATGTGGGAAATCTCTGAAACGCAGATGTACAGATCGATACTTCCCACGCCTACCTTTGTCAAGCCGATACCTGCGTCCACCTCGTTTTAATCCTTCCAGCCGAAAGGTGTCCTATTAATTTTTATAAACGGTCTTATTTTCTGACTCGAATAATTCAAAAGGTCTTGTTTTTTTGTTTTTTTACTCCAAACTGCATTTCAAATAAGAAAATAGTTAAGGAAAATTCGTCAGTGGACAGGTTCGTTTCGGTGGGGCTGTAATAGGAAAACTTGTAAAAAGACACTTCTGGAAAAGGAAAAGAAAGCATTGCGCGGTCAATGGCTCCTTTTTCCCCGTCTTGTATTTAGCAGGTAGATATTTCTGTTGTAAAGACCACCGTAAAAGTTGGAGTCCTTGGTTCTGTCAATGTTGTTATTATTTGATTGAAACCGTCTAATTAGTTCCATGGTACTTGCGATTTTTACCGTTTAATTTGTAAGAGTTAAAGGGTTTTTTTATACTTGAAGACCTTCGCCGATCTAAAAAAAATTTGCAGGAGTCTTGAGATAGCAAAGTAGTACCTGTAGCGTTTCGGCATGCTCAGTGGTGGGTCTGCGTGTTTTATGCTCCGTTTTGGCAAAATTAAGTACAAATTGCGAAATAATGGCAACTAACTACAACCTCATTTCCTGTCTGTTCGATTTTTCGCACTTTTGTCTTCTTTTTACTTGAGGTAAATTAAAACAAGAAAGAAACTGAGAAGAATGGCGAGCAACACGTCTAGGTTTAGTGCAGTTTCATTCTTCTTAATTATTCTAATTAATTAAATTAACCAATTTTTGGTATTCACATGTATATTAATTTCTATGTGTGGTGATTAGTGACCGTTAATCGATAATTATTCAGAAATCGTGAGATGCGGTCTGGTGTGATGTAGGTTTCAGAAAAACATTTTCTTTATCGTGCCAACGTTTCGATCTTTATTGAGACCATCTTCAGGGCTCAAAGTGTTTGCCTTCTGAGTAATTGTGCCATTCTTGCGAGATCGTGGGCACTCTCAACACGACACGCAAGAATGACACAATTACACAGAAGAGAAACACTTTGAGCCCTGAAGATGATCTCAATAAAGATCGAAACGTTGGCACGATAAAGAAAATGTTTTTCTGAAACCTATATCACACCAGACCGCATCTCACGATTTCTGAATAATTAATTTCTATGCAAAGAAGGTTGAACTGAAAAATTAATTTCTTAACTAACAATAAGTTTAGGTAGATGATCTTGAACACAACCAGTCCAAACCTACGTGCTATTTATTTTAAAAAATTAAAATTTTAAATTTTCTAATTGTGGAATGATAAATAAAATCCTGTCCTCCCTGGTTTGGTCTGTTAAACTTATCTTTCCCTTTTTCTTGCCATCATCAGGAGGTTTTAAGTTTTTTTGTTTTTTAATGAGAGCATTGGTCGATACTATACCTCAAAACAAATACTACTAGATAAACATGTAATATATTTACAAATGATTATTTAATTACGGATGATTGTTAAATATGTTGCTTAATAGGCAGGTAAATGGTCATAAAGTGGTATTAATTTTCTCTTGGATTTTCCCCAGTCACTCGTTGAAATTGGGCTTTGCCAAAGCCTGCTGTACAGCACCTTTCTCTAGAAAGTATTTGTTAAATTATGATAAAAATAAAAATTTTCACTTCATTTATTACAAAGCCATTAGGAAATTGGGGACAGTGTGTTTAAGTTCAAAATAAATGTAAACGTCAATCTTCCGGCACTATTATTTATTGCAAAAGTGACACATGGCGATAATTGTCTTATGGGCATTGGGCATAATAGGCAGTAATTACTATGAAAGAATGAACATATTAATAAATAACCCAATATATTATCAAATTTTAAAAAAATCATTAAAAAATGTGAGATTTCTATCACAACATTAATATCATTAAAATGATATTTTTGGAGCATTTATTAGCAAAAGTTTATTAAAAAAGTAAAATTTAGGTTCTGAAAGTTGATTGGGTCTTGATGGTTTAGCATATTCGTATGGTAATCAGAGATGATCCAAATGTTAAACTATTCACGAAAGGCTAAACAAAAAACCAAAGTTTATATACATTTTAAACTTTAAATAATTGAAGTTAAAAGCTTTATATTTTAAAATACAAGTTTTGTTTAAATATTTTTCTTGCAACAATTTTGATTAAATATTTATTTTTAAATTATGTTTTACAGATGTCGGTGATTCTGCTAAAACTGATGATGGCAAAGGAGATGTTGTGGCATCGACATTGAAGCAGGATTCATCCGTCCCAATACTATCAACCACAGATATTAAGAAAGAGCCTCCAGAGCGACCAAAGACTCCACCTCGAAGATTTATCTCTTCGATTCTCGGCGGGGACATCCCGTACGGAAGCAGCAGAGGACACCACGTCCTTACGTCTGCTGAGAAAAAAGAGTATGTTGTATGTGACAAGCCGGAGGAACCGAAGACCGCCCCGAAATGCCAGCAGGTCTCAGTGATACAACGGACGCCCAGTGTCTCCGCCAAGCCGGAGAATCTTATGGTCATGCAGGAGCCCGAACAGGAAGCTCCGATTGACTACCACATCCCAAAGAAAGACACTGAGAGATTGGATGAACTCAAAAAGGCCAAACTGGCTTTGGCTCTCAAGCGTGGTCACATACTTATAGCCGGGCGGAGGATGCCGACGGCAGGTCAGATACTTATGGCGGCAGCCGGTCACAGCAGGGGCGGGGGAGGCGGCTCCCATTCTGGAGGACAACAGAGTGGGAGTTCTTCTGGTGGTTCTAGAAACAGTTCCTCTGGGAATTCGTATACTCTCAGCGGTGGAGGAGGCTTATCTTCAGGAGGTTCAGGGGGAGCAGTGGGTGGAACTGGAGGTGGTGGAGGTGGGCCGGGAAAATCTAATTACGGACCCAGTTCTCCCCCAACAGGCTCTTTGCCTCCTTTTTACGAAAGCCTCAAAGGTGGAGGAATTCACAATTTCCAACAGTACGGATCGCAATATCAAAACCTCATAACAGACGCCTTGCCGATGGATTGTGACACCGGACAAGACAACGCGAATCCAATTCAAAATCCGTATCCGCCTAACAGCGGTGATGGTCCGCCTACAAAGCAGTATTCCCTTCTTCAAAATGTCTGCGCTACATATGGCATATGTGTTAAAGAAGAGGATGATCTATCTTCATATGTCAAAGACCAAAACTTCCTCCAGTACGATGATGCTCTCATGGTGGATTCCGTCACAGGGGCTGTAGTCGACCCACTCCAATTCACCGCTACATTGACTTTCTCTAGCCCAGCAGATCACACCGCCTTACTCGAAAGCCTCTCAGATGCTGCAGACCTCTTCCTCAGAGAGGTAATTAATTATCTTTGTAATTAAATAAAGTAATAGTAATAAATATGTAACAAATATTCTTGCAAGAAGTTAAATTAATTTATAAATTAATCCATTTAATTTTTTTTGAATAGCCTGGTGAAACGATTCCCCCGCCGGTTGAACCACCAGTGAACCCATTTCCAGAGCACAAAGTGAACAACAACAACAACAACAACTTCCAAGAGAACAATTCATCAAATTGTCATTTCCGTCTGCCACCTGGTTATCATGAAGCATCCAAAGAAAGGCCAGAAGTTACTATCACCGAGCGCATGTCACATGTACCTCTCCAAGTTCAAGTACCTTTACCAAAGCAACCAAAGTGGGAAAACAATGTGAGTTTGGTTTAATTTATAAATTTTGTTGGTTACTTCTATTCCATACTACACATTTATTTCTTTAGGTCAATGGGCAGCAAGGATCCCTCCTGTCCCCTGGACTGTCTTCACTTGAATTGGATTCAAGCACTTCAATGTCTCTTCCTTCACCTACCAGCTGCTCCCTTGACGGGACCGGATCAATTTCACCTCCTCCATCTTCTAGTAATGGAACGGACATCACAAGTATACCTTCCCTCCAGGTCCGTGTTGGTGTTTTGCAACACAGGGTGTGTATCTATAATAATTCTAACCTCTTTCTACTTAAGAAACAAAACAACAATAATATAATAAATAAAATAGTCACAAGAAAGTAACATTTTTTCTTTTTATTTTTACCTTCCAGTCGTCACAACAGTATGAGTGGCAAAATGGTTTCAAAGGGATCCCTTTATCACCAGTGCCTAATACTCACAACAACTACTTTGGCGCTGATGACGAGGGGGTCAACAAGAAACCTGTTAAAGCACACATGCAAAATTGTGTGGCCAAGGTAAAAATAAATAAAAAATGTTACAGACGACTCTGTGATGATGCATAAAACTGACAGTTGTTTTTTTTCTTTTGTTTTTAGCTCGGTCTGCCAGGTGACACCGCCTTGGAATTTGTCAACGGCGGTCATGGAATCAAGAACCCACTTGCAAACAATGAAACACCGGCCATCCCGAGGCCCGCCGAGGCGGAAAAAGACGACAAGACTTGCGTGAGCACAAACGGAAGGTTCACATGTCACCTCTGTTCGAAGAGTTTCAGCCTTCAGCGCCTCCTCAACAGGCACATGAAATGCCACTCGGACGTCAAACGATACCTCTGCACATTCTGCGGAAAAGGATTCAACGACACATTTGACCTTAAACGACACACAAGAACTCATACAGGTAATTAAGACAGTTACTGTTTTAAGTAGTTATTTTTGTCATTTGGTCTCCTTTCTACAAAATAACGCAAATTTTATCAATAATTCAGTAATAATTTTTTTTCTACATTTCTTGTTTTGCCCATTTTAATACATAGTAACTATTAATTCAGCTATATTTATTAATTCAATTAATTAAGGTTTTAAGTTGAGATAAAAAGTAAGTGTCACGAGTGGGATTCAACCCACGACCTTCGGCTTGATACGCCGCTGCTCTACCACTTGAGCTATCGTCACTTTGACACTTGTCACCGAGAATCAAACAGATTACACGACATTTGAAAATTGCAAAAAGGAGGGGAAAAAAAGGTGCAGTTGAGATGGGAAGTTAGTGCCCGAGGGGATCGAAGTCACGATAGCTCAAGTGGTAGAGGGGCGACGTATCAAGCTGAAGGTCGTGGGTTCGAATCCCGCTCGTGACACTGACTTTTTTATCTCAACTTAAAACCTTAATTAATTGAATTGTATTAATTGGTCGAATGCACCATGAAAAATAGTTAATATATTGATTAAACTGAAGCCAAATACATTTTTTTTTTTTTTAAATTTCTTGGTCAACTGAAAGCTCAAAATGTACACATTTCCACATTTGTTTTATAAATTAAAAGTAGAACTAATAGTCATTTCTTTTATTTTTTTTTCCTTTAGGTGTGAGGCCATACAAGTGCAACCTTTGTGAAAAATCATTCACCCAAAGGTGTTCCCTTGAATCGCATTGCTTGAAAGTTCACGGCGTTCAGCATCAATACGCCTACAAAGAGAGAAGGACAAAGGTAGTTAAAACTTGTTTTTTTTTCCTTCTTTTTCCCTATGTATAAGTGCCAATTGTAATTTGTAATGTTTGTTAACAGATGTACGTTTGTGAGGACTGCGGCCACACAACAAACGAGCCTGAAGTACACTACTTGCATTTGAAAGACAATCACCCTTACAGCCCAGCTCTTCTTAAATTTTACGACAAGAGGCATTTCAAATTCACCAATTCTAATTTCGCCAATATGTTGCTTGTCCGTTCTTAATTTTTTACGCACACAAATTTAAAATTCAATTAAACTTCATTTATTCCATTATTAAGTATTGAATAATTTCTACAAATCAGAGAACACACATTAACTTTTCTGTCCTTTTTTGTCTCTTTTTTTAATTTTTTAATGAACTCTTATAATAACTAATTTCATTGTTAATTTTGCTTTTGTTTTATAATTGTATATTTTATTCACTTTTTATTTATATAATTTTGTTAAATGTAGTGAAGTCCAAAAGTTTTTCTACTATCGAGGAATGGGTTTTTTTGCCAGTGGCTCGAGTAGAAATTTATGGTTGTTTATGTGTAAAAAAAAATTGATAGGGACAAATTTTGGATTTCGTATTGTGCTTATTGGGCAGATAGATAATACAACACTTAATGGAATATTAAGGAAAGTTTTATTTTACATTACTACAAATTAAGAATAAAGTGTTGCGTTATTCTTCATATTTTTGTATTATTACTATAATTATTTTATTATACTATTATTAACTATTTAAACGTTAGGTACCTGTGATATGAAATTAATTTTTTAAAAATATTATTTAATCGAGTGCAAATTATGAAAGGGAAACTTTTTCATGTAACTGATTGGGAAAAATGAAAACGGTTCGTCTTCATTTCAGTTGTCAGTTTATTTCCTTAAAATCGACTGGTGGAAATTGAAAAGCTTACGGGTGTAGCGTTGGGTGTTTGTTCACGACCTTTATTTGTCACGTGTAAATACTGTTTTATTTTTTTACAACAATCGTTTGTATTCAATTTTATTCAGAAAAGATATTTACATATAATTTTATTAACAAGAGGTATATATAAAAAAAGAAAAAAAAGTGAGCTGTTCACTTTTGTCAAGATGTAGATAGACACAAGTTTTTAAGATACGAAAAATTTTGTTTTTATGTATAACAAAAAACAGATCTGTATTATTAGTTTTCAAGGGAAAAAATTTAAAAGTTTTTTCACTATTTATTCAATCTTTTATTTGACTTCTTTTTAAAATATTTTTAACTATGATTGTTTCGACGTAATCTCTTTAATAGTAAGTCATTAGTTTTCACAATTGAGAATTCACTATAGATACAAAAAGCCTTCGGCTGTTAACATTGTAAAGCATCACAAAGTTAAATGTGTAAGGAAAGAACTCATTTGTATTGTACGCGGTGTCGGTATACTGCGGTAATTTCTTCTGTGCCCCTTTGAACTAACTGTCGAGGAAATAGCGCAGAGTGGATTTTTTTTTTTTTTTTATTCTATAAATATATAAATCTGTGCAATATTTATTAAGAAAAGATGATGTTAGTAAAACGACAGAGCATTTGCGACGGTCTTCGATTTCGGTCATGAGAAGAGACATCCTTTCCTCATGCTTTCTTGTTTTTCGCGACATTCTTACTTGGCAGGGTAATAGGGGAGGTGTTTTTATAATAATTAAGCATGACTGAATTAACTTAAGATTCATTAATTAAGTTTACAAAAAAAAAAATATTTCACAGAATGGTACAATGTTTGTTTTTTCAATTAGGTGTACTTATTGCTATGAGTATTTCAACTTTTGAGAAGGTACACGTGCATTTTTATAACTATGGCATATAATTGCTACAACCCGATCATTTGAATCACCTTCCACTTATGATTTCATTTATATTCCCTTACTAATACGTTTTTGCTAATTCCTTGTCTCATTTTGTTTAAAATAGGACTTATTTACATAAAAACTACAAAAAGATTTATATTGATTGTATGAGATTTTTGTCTGGAAATCTTGAATCAGGCGCAAGTAGTGTGATCTTTTCTTTGAATAATTTTAATGGACAACTGTATTTAAATAGTTTTAAATTGATTATTTCTTGTTTGTAGCATTATAAACTGTCATTTTTCAAATACATTAAAAGTATTGATGCGTAGAAATTTTTTTTCCTTACCAAATTAAATGTGTCAAGTTTGTAATACAACATTATATCATAATATATAACAGACATAATCCTTCATATCAACAATATTTATTTTAGAATTAATTAAGGTTTTTAGTTGAGATAAAAAAGTCAATGGCACGAGCGGGATTCAAACCCACTGACTGATTGAAAAATGGCAAAAAGGAGGGAAAATTCAAAAGGTGCGGTTGATGTCCGAGTGGATCGAGGTCACGATAGCTCAAGTGGTAGAGCAGCGGCGTATCAAGCCGAAGATCGTAGGTTCGATTCCCGCTCGTGCCATTGACTTTTTTATCTCAACTAAAAACCTTAATTAATTGTAATATATTAATTGGTCAAGCGGACCATGAAACTAGTGAATTTAATAAGTTTAAAATGAAGTATACTTCACTAAAGCTCTCCGTGGCCATTTCATTTGTCGCCGAGAATCAAATTGATTACACGACATTTGAAAAATGGCAAAAAGGAGGGAAAATTCAAAAGGTGGGGTTGAGATGGGAAGTTAGTGTCCGAGTGGATCGAGGTCACGATAGCTCAAGTGGTAGAGCAGCGGCGTATCAAGCCATAGATATTGGGTTCGAATCCCGCTCGTGCCATTGCCTTTTTTTATCTCAACTAAAAACCTTAATTAATTGTAATATATTAATTGGTCAAGTGGACCACAAAATTAGTGAATTTAAATATTTATTTTACCAAAATTTTGTCACCAAGTCATTGAAATGCCTTTTTTTAAAAGGACAATGAGGATCTTTAGCGTCCATATCTGGCTCATGCCTTACTGGATTGTTTGATTCTCAAGATGAGAGATGATGCACCTCCGCTCACGACTGAATGTGAACAGCCGCAAGTGTTGGTGTAAAAGCTGTCCCAGCCCTGATCACTCCACACACTCTCAGACATTGCTTTTCTGTATACTTGGTCGTCCTAAAAAGGACAATCTCGCTTCCCCGCTTGCCCATTCCGCATTAAGCATCGAACCGTATGCCACATGCAAAGGACTACCTAAGCCAAAATACCTGGTCTCCCGCGCACTCCCTGGATAGAGAAGGCCACTCTACCTCCCAGAGTAGTGGGGCTTCCCTAGTGTAGAAACTACCAGATTCGCTCCGGCCACGGTTTTGTTTAAAGTGGCATTGCTAACCACCCCTAGGGGTGACCGCCTACAGTAAAAGCCTCCTATCGAGCTCAGCCTACACCTATGAGCAAAGCGTAGGTAGTCGAGTAGGAGCAACCGATTCACTACCCATTCCCATCCACCACTATTCACACATTCAAGGGACTTTTTAGCATAATCATAGCATCCTCAATGCTTATATGCTGCTGTCTGATCCACCGTATCCCATGAGGCCGAGTGTATAATGATGTCATGTGCAAGTTTCGTGCAAAGGTCACAGATAGAAGACAGCCTCTTCTCTAAGTACCTGCCAGGGGTCTCACCACGGCCAACTACGAGTCTATTCCCAGTGTAACAGGGGCTGAACCTTGGAACATTTCTGTTACCCCGTAGTACAGATGGTTATGCAGACAGGATCTGGTGCCCTAACCCTCGTGCGCCTCTGATAAGGCACCCGCCGACACGAGTAGAGCTTGTGCTTTAGAGAGGTTGCCACGCCCTCATGGCTACACCATTATTTTGCGCCCGGACACCCCCCTTGTAGGCAAGGGCTGGGAGGGGTCACAGGAAACAATGACAAAACCTGGAGTGAGAGAGGGACGTGGATGAGGACACAAAGTACACCTTTCTTGGGCCCGAGCTTTAACCACATTGTACCACCCGTCGTTGTTGTAGTTCCACCTTAAGTGGGCTACAACTCCCTGGGTGGATGACACTCTCAGACAGCCAAGGAGCCATAAAGGCACTAAATGCATATGCTTTCAACTCCAAACTTGTCTGGAAAAACTATCTGACTTTATCTAAACTGCCTAATTACTCTGGGGAAATAAAACCAAAGGTTCCTGAACATAAAGAAAATGAACAGACTGACCAAGTAGGCAAAAAAGGGGCAACCCTCTCACCCATGGAGCCAGAACCACAACTAAGTACTCTGAAGTGTGTGCTTCAGTTGGAATTGGATAAATGGATTAAGAAAGAAAAACTCAAACACTGGAAAAACACATCACGTATGAGAAAAGCTAAGAGATTTGTAATCTCAAAATGGAAAATGGAAGAATTCCTGCCGCTCAGCAGGCAGGATTTGAGAAGGCTTATAGGCCTTTTTTCAGCCACTGCCCTCTTAACTACACCTTAAGAATATGGACAAAGCTAAGATGGAAACATGCCGGCTCTGTCAGTGATGTTGTCACATATCCTTTGCGAATGTAAATAAGAATTGTATTCAACCCCCCCCCAAAAAAAAAAGTGAATACATAGTTTTTCGTCGATAGCATGGATTGTCGTCCTATAAGGTTGAAAAGTAGACTGTAGCGTTTGTTTAAGACTTGTCATTTCGGTAGGAAATGGTGATTACATGTTAAGCGTGAGTCTAGGTCGAGCTCAAGGTAATGAATACAGTTGGGTTTGGTGGTGATAGGAACATCATTCTAGTTGTGAGAAGAGATGCTCAGATTTTAAATGTGGACGCCCTTTCATTATCTTCATTTTCCATGGACTACACCAATCTGCTACACCTGCAGGTCTTCCAAAGCAACCACAGGATCAGGATTAGAGGATAGTAAAGTTTCGTCATCAGGAAAAGATGCAAGGAGGGTGGTAGGTGTAGTGGGAACATCTTCAATATAAAGGATATAAGAGGATAGGTCTGAGAACACTGCCTTGCAGAACTCCCTCAGTTCTGACATCTTTTATATATAAAAGAAGTGCTGTGTTAGGGTGTAGGATTAAGTAGAGGTTATTTGGAAGGACATACTTTAATTTGTAAAAGTAGCAGACATCAAGAAAGGGTCTTATATGCTATTCTTTGCACTCAATGGAGGAGGTTATATTGTCTTCAATTCACAACTATTGCTGGAATGTGGAATTGTGGCTAAAGGTAAAATGATGATCTGGGAGAAGGTTAGAGGATTTTATTTTTAGCAACAGTCTTTTAAGGAGAATTTTTTCCAAATACTTTGGACATTATGGAAAGTAAAATATTCGGACTATATTTTGAGGCTTTGTGAACTGGTTTACAATTTTACAAAAAGTTTTAAAAGTCAATATCAAAAATAATTGGCTTTCATCCAGACAAGAGAGTTTTATTCTCTTATATATTGACTCCGAGTGAAAATCATTAAAAATATCATTTTGAGTGAAAATCAGCAGAGGCAAAAAAATAATCAAATGCTCAACAGAGCTCATCGTCATGCGTATCACCCTGACCACAATATGTGGTCTCGAGACATGACACTTTTGAATTGACTGTTACGAATTTCTTTTTAATGCTCTTTACAGTTCACACAATCGTAATTTATTACATGTTGAATAGAAAGAAAAAAAAGTTAAGTAATAACTAAAATTTCAATAAATAATATTACAAAAAAAATATGTTCCTGTATTAATGTTTAAAAAGACAGATGAGATGACTTTAATGTTTAAATCTTTAAATAAAAATTATTAGCAAAAATAAAGTTGATATGACATGGCATCCCATGCCATTTTCAAAACTTTTTCATGTTTTATGTGTGGAAATTAGTTTAATTTTATGAAAAGATAAAATGATGTAAAAACTAGACGTCGTAGTAGATGGTAGATTGAAATTTTTGGACCCATCATCATGAAGAACTATAAATTCTAAAGAATTATCCATAAAACTAACTATCCCTAAAAGTAAATAAAAAGAAGGTCAAGAAGAATATTTTGATTTATTTTTATTTGCTACGATCAAATAAAATAAATAAAAATAAAAAAATATCAAAGAAAATAGTCTGCTAAATTTTATGTATTTGCATTGACAGCAATCACATCAGTTAGTCAATCGGTTAATAAAATATTCACCTTCTGATTAAAAAAAAGTACAGATTTAAAATAAATCATAGAACAAATTTTCTATAAAATAACTTTTGAAGTTACTTTTAGAAGATGGATAATAAATCTGAGCGTGAAGGTTATGAGAAAAAAAGATCACCCAGAGCTACGATCATCATTCTGGGTTATTAGATCAATTAATTAAAATATTCACCTTCTGATAAATGTAGATTTAACATAAGCTTTAAAGTGAAATTTTTATTAAAATAATTATTGAATTATATTTTAGTGCGTGATTATTTAATTTTGGTAAGGAAGTTATGAAATAAAGTCATCCGGAGGTTCCATCATCAGTCATTCCAGGGTTATTCAATCATTTAATAAAAAATTTGCCTTCCGATAAATAAAGTTGAGATTTAAAATAAATCAGAAGACAAATTTTTATTAAAATAGTTACAGAATTAGCTTTCATAACATGGCTATTTAATCTTGGCATTTAAGTTGTGAAAAAAGTAACACAGAGGTGGCCATCATTGGTAATTTCTTGGTTAATCGATCAGTTAATAAAATATATATCTTCTGATAAATAAAGTTTAGATTTACATAAAATTAGTTGAATTTTTATTCAAATATAATTATCGTATTATCTTTTAAAACATGAT